TATCCCTACAAAAGTATATGAATTTAGTCTTTTGTACCTCTCAATGTAGCTTGGGTCCATAACGGATGGAACTAGATCCCGTAGAAGATGGACTGAATTGTGCTGGGGAGGGACTGGATGGCCTTGTGGTGGTATTAGATGATACGTTGGAGGCATCAGATTGTATTGTGGTAGTGCTGGGTAATGCAATTGAGGCACCGGACTATACTGTGGTGGTGTCATATGGTATTGTGGAGGAGCAGGATTGTACCAGGGTAGCTCAAGATCCTCCCGCTATAGGGGAGGCTCAAACTGTGGCAACGGGGGAGGGTCAGGTAGCTTCCTCCTTTCCTTTCAGGCCTATTGGGTAGCAATGAGTCTCTTCAACATTTCAAATAATCGGTCAACATCCTCTCGAAATAAACCCTCCTGGGCTGCTCGACTTAGTGGGGGTCTTCCTCTCCTCATCTATCTGTACCTGCATTTCACAAGGAATGGTTAAGTGATAATTCAGTTTTTTAATTCTTTTTTTTCGTGTTTCCTTAGGTCTTTGTGTAAGGAATGGTTCTGAGGAATGCGGTTTTGATACCAACTGTAGAGACTTGGAACCTTGGATAAAATAAAATCATAAATTAAATGCGGAAGTGAAATAATAGAGTGATGGTTTACATTCCTTATACAATAATTTAGAATGCCCAATAGTGCTACGGGAATATTCTCTTCTAAAAAAAAAATAGAAATCAAAGAAATAAACGAAAAATAAATTACTAAGTATTCTATGACTATCTTTACTAGCTTTTAAAGAGAGTTCGGGTGGTGAACTATTCACAATCTTCTTATTGATTGAGATCTGGATCTTGGTCCTCTTGATTTGATATAGTTAATAAAAGAGTGAGCTACACTAACCTAGTAAGAATATCACACTAATCACATATATGGAAAACTGAAGATTGATAAAAATTAGAAATACAACCAATGGAGTTCTTAATTTAATATAAATTTATTTACTATAAAAAGAGTCATTTATTTAATATTTATGTAACAAATCTTTTTTAATAATAATTTATAAAAACTCATATTTATGCACTATTATTTATCACATATAAAATGATAAGAAACGATCATTTTACATTTTTACCTACTTACTAGTACTTTTTGGGGGTTTTTTAGGGATGTACTCCTACTCGTGAACCCAATATCC